CCTCCCCTCCCTTCCTTGAGCATCTATTGAGCATTTGTGATGTGCACTGTGTATTGGGCTATGAAGATAAACAAGATACATCTACGTCTAATTGAAATGCTCCCTGGAGGTTGTGGAACTGTGAGAAAAGTGCCAGAGCAAAGAGGAGGCAGGAACTTGCTAAAACTGAGGAGACACGAGGCTTCGCTTGATGGCTCTGCAGAGCTGGGGCTCACGAGATAAAGAAAGTGTCCCTGGGCAAAGAAAAAGGGAAGGCCACTGGGGAGGGAAGGAACAACTTCTGCAAAGACTGTTTAGAAAATTGTAGTCCTTCGACATGCCTGAAGGATGGGTGTAGAGAGGTGAAGGGGGGCAGAGAGAAAGTCAGAAAAATGGCCTAAGGCAGAAATAGGCAGGAACTTCTGTGTCACACCAGGGAGTTTGCAGTCTTCAAGCAGTGGGGCCTCTGAAGGTTTCTCATCCACGGGGGAATGTGACCAGATCGGTCTTTGGAAAGGATGAAGCTTGAAACCGCATAGAGGATTTTGTAGAGGTTGAGGCAGATGAAGGCTGAGGGACTGACCCCTGAGATGTGGGCGTGGGGTGGGCTTAACCTGCACTGTAGGGACAGAGAGGCAGGTGGCTCTGTCCTCAGAGCAGGGTCTGTTCTCCTAGTCCTTTCCTGACCCCACTGAGTTGGTCTCATTCAGGCCCCTGCCTCTCGGCCTCTCCTGACCTCCTGTGATGGACCAAGGTCATGAGATGGGTCTTTACATTTGACGACTCGAGCTGTTCAGCAGCCCCGGGCCCTGCTCTGCTGCCTCCGGGCTCGTTTCAAGCTGCCGTGTCTTCCTCCCTGGCCGACCTCCCTGGGTCAGCCGCTTGGCAGCCTGGAGCCCTGGTCAGCGCCAGAGCTGATCTGGCGCGGCCGGCCACCGTTTCTTGTATTGTCCCGTCCTGTGCTTTCCCTGCCCGGGCCGTGGGTTTATAGGGAGACTAGAGCCTCTTGAGATGGGATCTGTGCCACATTCTCAGGGTTTACACACCCGCCATGCCCTTGGAGCCCTCTTTCCTGATGATCCGCAGGAGAGAGTTCAACAGATGGGCAAAACTAAAATTTTAAAAGTTTATATTGATCTTTTAGTTTACAGGTTCTAATAAGAAAAAAAGGCATTGGAAACTTAAGTTTTATAAAGTACCCTGAGCAGTGACAGATTTTCATGGTACTAGCAATGCCAAGAAGCTCTAGTAAACACGCTTGATCATTTCAGTGTCGTCCTGATTCTGTTACGGTGTTTGTTTTGAAGTTTTAGGGGCCTTTTCCCCCTCCCCTCTCTAATTCTGTTGGTAACAATGTCACTGCTGTATAATGAGGCTGAAGCGTAGCAGTGCTTAGGGCTGGGCGTCCTGCGCGGCTGACCCTGTGTTTCGCCCTGGTCGTTGCAGTGTGGCAAAGCGCTGCCAGGCCTTTCCAAGCGGGAGGACTGCTGCGGCACCGTGGGCACCTCCTGGGGCTTCCACAAATGCCAGAAATGCCCCAAGAAGCCGGGTAAGTGACATTTCGTCATTCCTCTGCAGGTTAATGTAGCCTCTCTGTTTCCTTATGATTACCTTTTTAATGGTGAGACATTAGACTTTCAAAGAACTCTGACTGAATTGTAGAACATCGTGCTATAATCTGCATTTCCAGAAACCTTACAGGTCTGAGAAAAGTTTCATACCCATTCTGTTTTTTAAAAGTGCAGTTATCAGTTGCCTTCTTCAGTTGGATTATACATTTAAAAAAAAAAAAATCTTTTAAGAGGCCATATGCTAAATAAAACAGGCTCTATTTTCTCAGTTGAAGAGAAAATAAGATAGCTTTAAAATAATAATTAAATGTTTCAAATCCTAGAAAACGTCCGTGCAGTTGTGGTTTCTTAGGTTAACTTCCTTAAATGAAATTTTTATTAACAGCCACAACTTCTGTTGTCGTTTTTGTTTTACTGTAAGTTTTCAGAATTCACTTCAAAAAAAAAGCTCAAATGAAGAAATGAGTGTGGCTGATTTGCAAAAGAGAAATTTATTATAACTAGGACACAGTTCTCTCCCCTTTTCTCCTTAGTCGCGCTTTTATACCGTCCCAGTGCTCGGTGACATGACTCTCTGTTGACACCCACATGCTTTGATTAATCTTTAAAATCTGTTTTTCAGAACCTGTTGATTTACAGCTCTCATTTGCTCTTGAGCCTGTGGATCATGAAAATGAGAGTCTGTATCCAAAATGTTAAAAGAGTATTGCCTTTTTTTTTTTTTTTTT